TCGTTAGAAAACGCACCATTAAAGTCATTTGTTCAGTATGGCTGATGTCAGGTGTGCAGTCCAGAATAACAGAGTAATATCTTGCTGACTTCAGATCTGCCACAATCTTCTGTTTGACTTTTGTTGCCAGTAACTGTATGATCTCATTTTGAATTGTTTTTCCAAGGTAGTGGTGTGTGTACATTTCTGGGGTGGTGACTCTTCTTAGATGCTCCTGGAGTACAGCATCAAACTCAGCCATCAGCTCCATAATTTTAAGGAAGTTTCCATTGTTTGGCACATACAGCTGATCTGAAGTGACACGCAGTGCTAGATTTTGGGTAGCAAGCATTCTCACAATGGCAATGAGCCTTTTCAGAACATTTTGCCAGTAAAGAGACTCTGATGCTGATCATCTGTGGTGGCCTTTAACCTTAGTCTCCTCTCAAGCTCTTTCCACCTATGGGATGCTCTCTGGTGATTTGCTGCGTTCTCATGGCATGCCAGATTTCTAGCCAGATTTTTCCAGTCCTTTGTTCCTGTAGAACCCAGTGTGGCTGGAACATTAGACTGGAAGAGTTTGCAGCAAAAACAGGATGCAGCATTCTGGGTTTTTGGGTACATAAGCCATGGCCTCTCCCCTCTGTCACCATTGGGGATTTCACGCCAGTAATGTATTGGATGGAAACTTCTATTTTCATTGTCTTTGGGGAACATGAAGTTTACTTGTTGTGGCCCATGCAGTACAAGGAAGTCCCTCAGGCTACTGCTCAAGTGGGTCCACAGTCCTGGATTATCTAGATTTAAGGAACTAACCTCAGCAGCAGCTGTTTCTTGTGCCTCCACCACTCTCTTCTCTGATCTACACTTTTCTTCGGGAATGTGCATGGTTACATCCATTTGAGATGGAGATATGGATGCTGCAGTAGCTGCCAGGTCACCTGCACTCTGACTAACTAGAAGATAAGGCGGCATCTCACCACTCACATCCTCATTGGGGCCAGGAGGCTCACTATGAATATTTGTGTCTATGTATCTCAGGACAGCTCCTTCCTGCTTAGATAGAAAAGCTCTTTCTTTTTCTGAATGCTGCCCTAGAGGGGCGTTTTCTTCTTTCCCTTATGACTGCTGTTCTGTGCCAGCTATAGTGGGTCTCAACACTCAGTTGAAGGGGACAGATTAGCAGGCTGGTAGCAGGGCCGAAGTGAGGGAAGATATCAGCATCTAAAGGGCCTAACTGGCTCCTACTACTTCAGTTGACTGCCTGTTCTCCTCACGTGGGTTCAGGGAAGCAGCAGGAAACAGGAAGCTCCCTGAGAAGCTGGTGTTAATCAGTCCAGGCTCCTGGGGGTGCTAGAGAGGTACATAAGAGGCTCTTCCTCCTCTCCCTTCTTGCAGGTCCTGCTGCTTTCTGTTATTCCCTCTCACCTTTTCTCCTGTCTGCCTGTTATGTCTGTTGTGCCCTCCTTCCTCCAGCACAGCACTCCACCATCTCTGTGCATCTAGAGCAGAGAGAATACATATGCACCAGCAGCAGACACAATTTTCTACACTCTGGGTCCTAGAGGCGCCCCCCCCCCCCCACAGTCTGGCACCTGAGATGGCCACCTCAGTTCGCCTCATGGTAAGGCGAGACCTGTGTGCAGTCGTCTCCTCAGTGGAGCCATGAAGCATGCATGCCATGGTTTCCAGCTTGGCAGTTTCATGTTTGAAAGGGGGCTGTTCTTTTGTACCCACTCCACAGCCTGAAACCTTTTTGTTACATTGGAAAGAAGGGGGTTGAAATAGATGCCAGGTCATATTGCCTGGAGTGGTGGGAAGACATTGGTTTATTAGCAGGATTTTAAAGGGTTCCTAATGACTCTTCATCTGTCTCTACAAGCACTTAAGCTTGTGACTAACTTTACACACAGGAGGAATGGGGCTACTCCTGTGTAAAGTTACTCATATTATTAAGTGTGTGCAGGATGAAGCCTTACTTTTAAAGCAAAACTAAGATATCTCAAAGTCTGTCCTGACTCAAGGCCGTGCATTGGTAAAGGCAGCCTTTTGAGTTTGTTTGGAGACCCTTAAATGAAAGACCTCACCTCAAACTGACTGCAAGTGAAGGCGAAGTGGAAAGGCTGTAATGCTGTATTTAATGGATGTGTACTCCAGTAGGGCAAGTGTAAATAAAACCAAATCCCTTGTTACAAGCTATGTGAGTCAGAGGAGTGTACGCCAGTAACTGAAAAATCTTGGCAAGAAGCAAGTTTTTAATTTTCCATGACAGGAAACAAGGGTATGTCTTGGTGAGAACCTATAGCTCTTCCTCTGCCCCCAAGCAGGGCAGTAATCCTCACACTGGCTTTTTCATACAAATGTAGTTTTATAAGTATGGGGCAGGGTGCGGAAATGGATTGTAAGAGTCTAGTTAATGAGAGAGAAAACTGGGGCAAGAAAGATGTTAGACAAGAAAGACAGTTAAAACTTTATTTGGCAGGGGTGTCATGTTACACGGTGTTTGTGTGTGGTTCTTCTGAAATGGGATCTTTCTGCTCCTGCTCTTTTGCCTATCTGGGCCAATTGGTTTCTTTTGTGTCTTTTTCCTTGGGGGAAGCCAAGAGAAAGAACCACTTGGACTCAGGAGACCTTATAGGAGATGTTGCCTTCCCTAAGATGGGAAGGCAGGAGCAAGTGGAGGCCAGCGGTGGAAATTCAGGCGCTGAAGTTTAATTTAATGTAGTCTTATCTAGTCTTATGCAACACAGTGAAGTAGAAGCGTAGGTGAAGGGCTTCTGAAAGAACAGGACTCAAGATAATAACTGCAAGTCACATTTGGGCAACATGGTGTGGCTGCAGGTTAGAGAGGCAGAAGTTCAGATAGAACCTTGCTGGAGTTGTCCTGGTACTGCCAAACCTAATGAAAAGACTCCCACTGATTCCAGTTATATGGGCTCAGGCCCTGAACGCACTGTGCGAGCATCCACCATGTCGTCTGTCTGCTACGGGCAAAATCCTGCCCTCTCACCTTGCAAAGATGGCAGCAGAGCCAGTGTGGTTCTGCTGTGTATGGCAGGGTACATAGAGCCTATGCAGGCTTACACCAACAAATAGTGGATGATATCTATCCAAAAAAACAAACATCAGGAGCAAAAATATTTTCTGTAGTGCTACTAATTAACACTGTGCTTAACAGGGTAAGATGCATTCTCTGCCCTGAAGAATTTATAGCATGTAAGCTTTATACATGAGGAGCTCTCACTGATTTTAATGGAACATTCTCCATTTGGAGGGCTTGCTGGATCAGGCTCTAACACAGACTAGAGAAACACAAGACAAGACCTGGTTTAAAGTATATGTTTCAGCTCAGCTATGACATTAAGGCAGCAATCCTCTAAAATTGCCAGCAAAATTGTTGGCAATCACAATCAAATTATATTAAATATGTTGACGTCAGTGTAATTGGATTATCTCAGTGCATGGTTAAAACAAGATTTTTGAAAAAATGTCTGATTACGTTCAGTTGCACTCTGCTTGGGAGCCGGGGGATATCCAAGGCGTGTTTGCAGGTGGATGGCTCTTTCTCAAGAATCCTTTCTCAAGAATCAGTTTAGATGAGCTATTACCAGCAGGAGAGTGAGTTTGTGTGTGTATGGGGGTGGGGGGGGATGTGAGAAAACCTGGATTTATGCAGGAAATAGCCCGACTTGATTATGTAAAGAGTTGTCACTTTGGATGGGCTAGCACCAGCAGGAGAGTGAATTTGTGTGGGGGGGGTGGAGGGTGAGAAAACCTGGATTTGTGCTGGAAATGGCCCACCTGATGATCACTTTAGATAAGCTATTACCAGCAGGACAGTGGGGTGGGAGGAGGTATTGTTTCATGATCTCTGTGTGTGTATATAGAGTCTGCTGCAGTTTCCACGGTATACATCTGATGAAGTGAGCTGTAGCTCACGAAAGCTCATGCTCAAATAAATTGGTTAGTCTCTAAGGTGCTACAAGTACTCCTTTTCTTTTTGAAAAAAAAGCAGGTAATTGTTTAAATGATGCTGCCAACTGTGTCTGTGCAAACGTTTATTTTGCCCCAGCAGAGAGGTTGCAGGAGGCACTGGAGGGATATGCCTATTATAGAATTTTGTTAAATTATCAAATTTAAAATACGAATTCTCTCACATTTCAGATCTTATTGTTATTGCTGCTACTTATCAAAAAGGCTTGTGTTTAAAACAGGCTTTTCACCTTCAGAGTTCTTCTTCTCTCCCTCTCAGGAAGTGATGGTGTCAAATTTGGGGCAGCACAGTTTTTTCCCCTATTGATACACTTTGTCAAACATAAGGCGGGTCTAGTAGAACAAAGAGCTGGCATGTGAGCAAGGACCATATTGAGCAAGAACATGCCATATTGGCGTGTTTCTGCTCATACTGTCAGCTTCAGCGAATTATAAAGTTTCATTTTTAAAAAGAGTAAAGAAGGAGATTTTAAAAGACACAAAGGGGAGTTTGGCACTTAAATGCTATTGACTTACAAACTCCCCCTGTTTGGTCATGGTAGTAGAAACTTGCTCCAGAATGGGAAGTGAGGTCACACTGTCTGACTGTTCTGGCTAGGAGCCTCAAACAATTGCTCTAAGAAAAATGAGCTGTTGCCATTTGTTTTCAGTGTGTTAATTCTGAAGTCTGATGACAACAATTTCAATATTATCATTTGATCAGGCACATCCATCTCTTCTGGGGTTCTGGGTAAAGTTTGAGATTCTGGGCAGAGTTTTAATAGAGTGCAATACTATTCCTCTCCTCCACCCCACACACCCTGCTTATGAATTAGAAAATTCCTGTTCAAACACAGAGCATCTGCAATAGCAAAATGGAGTAACTTACATTATTGGCTAAGAAGGCTGACCTAATTCTGCCCTCAGTTATATAATTAAATGAGGGTAGAATTGGATTTGCTATGCGTTGTTTGGATACTTTGAAATTAAGGTCATCTTGGATGAAATCTCTTTTTCAGACCCTTTTTTACTGTTTTTTCTCACTTTAGGGGAACACCTGAGGATCTGCCCGCAGGGCTACACCTGCTGCACCAGTGAGATGGAGGAGAATTTCGCAAAAAAAAGCCAAAGTGAATTTGAAGACATGATGACAGAAGCCAGCCGCTCAGCACAGGTGACCCTAACATCTCAGTACAAAAACTTTGATGGTAAGTAAAGAACATACAGATTACCCCAGTTTTGCTAGTTGCTCTTTAACTGTTGGACTCAGGGGTTTTTGTTTTTGTTTTGTTTTGTTTTTTGCCATCTGGCTCTATCTTTGTGTATTGTGTTCTGTAGCTGTTATTGTGTCATGGCTTTCAATGTGAGTTCTAGCACATGTTGCATTTTCACTAGAGAATTACTTAGAAAATCTGTTTTTATTAAGGACCGTTCAGGAGTCTTACATCCGTATGTAGCTAAGACTGGTATACATAGGCACAGAACTGGCTTTTAAAGACACCCATAACAACATAGAGTATTAACACAGCAGCATAACATCTGAGGTAATTACAAGAAGCTTGGCAACATTACTTGAGCTGTAGGTGAAAATCATGGTGCTAGGGAAGACTCTGATCTGTAGTTAGTTTCCTGAATGAAAAATAGGTTAGCAAGTGTCATTTGCCTTCAGATGCTCGTGACAGAAATTTAATGCAGCACTCACCCTTACAGTGCTGTGGAGAAGTATGGTGTCAGGGATGCAGCATCACTTTCAAAGCACTAAGCAAAGTATATGGCTGGCTGGCTGGCTGCTTCTGTTGCCAGTGGAATCAATTTTGCAGCGCAGGCTGTAAGCTTTGAGGTCTTAAGGCCAGTGGAAATAAGTGGTTTATTGGCAAAATAGAGCTGACCTATGGTTCTGGAACCATATCTATTATCAGCAATACCTATTTTGAAAAAGGCCAGGCATTTAGAATCACAGTCCTCTTACCTTTATCAACGATTGTCATATGGAGCTATAGTTAAAAGCACAGTGTGTGGGAGGGAGGTAATAATGGATTGAAGGGTAAAATTGGAGATTTCAAGAAACACACAGATTTATAGAAATTGGCCTGACCTTCCAAAGCAGATAGCCAAGATTAAGGTCTTTTTCACTGAATAGGAAAAAAACCAAGACAATGCATCTCTACACTGTGCGTTGCAGCTGCATAGTTGAAGTTGACCATAGCAGAGGCTTTCTTTTGAAGTCTGGGATTAATTTGTAATTTTGCCCTGAGAAAAGATTAAAGCCCGGATTTTCCAAAGTGACTAGTGATTTTGTTTGCCCAGTTTGACACTGTAAAAGGGCCTGATTTTCAGAAAGGCTTGAGCACACTTGCTGCCATCTGAAAATCAGGCCCCGTTACAGTACCTTAAGTTGAGCACCCAGATATTGTAATATTCAGTAGCACTTTTGAAAATCATGGCCCATATGCTTACTCTTACCCTCACATCCAGGGCACGTGACTGAACACAATGCCGCATCCTGGAGGTAACTGAGATAGAATTTGGCTCAAAATATTGAGGATTGCACTAACAAACAGATTGCCCAGTAGGCAAACACTTTAATAAACCTAATTTTGTTTTATTGTTGGCTTTAAAAAAACAAAATCAGGGTCCTTCTCTTTCTAAATTTCTGATAGGAGCTACCCAGATGTTCTTTATGATTTGTTTTCCAGTGTTTGAGAAAAATATTCCTTTTATCTCTCTAAGACATACATCTAACATTTTTCTTGGGCCCCCAAGCAGTATCTGTGTTCAAAAAAACAAAGTATTTATCAAACCATAATGTACAAATCATTGCTCTTTTGTGGCAGGCGTAACCTCAGTTGAGCCCTCAGGCCCAGGAAGATGTTTCCTGCTCCCATTACATCTTTTTTAGTTTGCTTAACTACTGCTGCAATCAATATTGGGCTTATGATTTATGCAGGACATGTGATGCAAAAGCGTATTTATGATTTCAGGTTTGAATTTGCCTAGGAGCAAAATTTGACTTTACAACTTCACTGGAAATTTCAGATAGAAGGAGTTGAAGCTGCAGTGGGTTGAGGGGGTTGGGGGGAGATCATTTGCAGAAATGGTGTAGAAACAAATGCATCCTCAACCACTGGGATTGCCAGCTGGTTTACAGTTAACAAAATGTTTTGCACACATGAGAGATGTTATTAAACAGCCTCAAATATAGGCGTTTCTCTTGCTTCAAACTGGAAGTTTATGCTTAGGGCCCTACCAAATTCACAACCATGAAAAAAGCACGATGGACCATGAAATCTGGTCTTTCCCCATGAAATCTGGTCTTTTGTGTGCTTTTGCCCTGAACTACTATACAGATTTCACTGGGCAGACCAGTGTTTCTTAAACTGGGGGTTGTGACCCCAAAAGGGAGTTGCAGAGGGTTGCAAGGTTATTTTAGGGGGTCACAGTATTGCCACCCTCACTTCTGCACTGCTGCCTTCAGAGCTGGGTGGCTGGAGAGTGGCGGCTGCTGACTGAGGGCCCAGCTCTGCAGGCAGCAGCACAGAAGCAAGGGTGGCAATACCACACCATGCATCCTTACTTCTGCATTGCGGCTGGTCGCGGCACTGCCTTTAGAGCTCAGCTCCCAGGAGCAGCCACTGCTCTCCAGCTGCCTAGCTCTGAAGGCAGCATTGCTGCCAGCAGCATCACAGAAGTAAGGGTAGCAGTAACGCAGCCCCGCCCCACGATAACCTTGTGACCGCACCCACAACTCCTTTTCGGGTCAGTACCCCTACAATTACAACACCTTGAAACTTCACATTTAAATAGCTGAAATCATGAAATTTACTATTCTTAAAATCCTATGACTGTGAAATTGACCTAAATGGATTGTGAATTTGTTAGGGCCCAATTTATGCTCGTTCCGGTGCTGGACACAGATATAAATGTCCTTGTAGGTTTTGTTAGATCTACTTTATCAGCCGCTTCCAATACTATTAACTACTAGGTTTTGATAAATTACCTGTTAAGCAGTGGAAAGGCCCTTCGTTGGCTTTGTCCCTTCCTTTGGGAGATATCCCAAAGTATGGTAATAAGTGCTTCCCCCCCCCCCCCCCCGGTCATTCAGGTATGGAGTTCTGCAAGATTTCATCTTTTCATCCCTCTTGTTTGATGTGTATCTTTGACCTGTAGGGGAGAGAGAGTGCTGTGTTCTGGCTTGCAGGGTTATCAGTGTGTGCATAACCCTGAGCGCCTCATCTCTTTTTTTGTTATAGGAGGGAAGTATTTGAGGGAATGGGACAGAATAGTGAGTGTAATTTCCCTTGGAATGGGGTACGCTTTGCTAATATTATTTACAGCCTGGAGGTCACGTTATTCACAGATTCTCTCCTGTTAGAATGGCATGTTGGTAGCCTGGAGGCTACCACTTTCCCTTTCTGTTGCAGATTGCTTCACAGGAAATCATGTCTTTGTAATCTCAGTGCTGATCACTGCAATAGCTTTTAGTTGTAAAGGACCCAGAAACTTCATCTAGAAAATGCCCACCTCATTAGTACTGTCCTATATACTGGTGTTCCACAAGGTGCTTTGGGAGCAATTCAGCCTGTTAGTTTTGTCTGTAAAGCCCCAAATGGTCTGACAGCCTCTTATCTGAAAAATCACCTCTGCCCAGTTGCAGGAATTACAATCCACCATGTCACTCTCACTGTCTGCTCCTGGGGCAAACTCTGAAGGTATTTATAGGGCAAAAATCAAAATAGTATGTAAGCATGAAATTTGAATTCTAAAAAACATAACTATGGGATTGAACTCTGTTCCTGCAATCCTAAAATTTGATTGTCCTCTGCATATTATTTATCTGAATTCTAGATTCCCAGGGTAGTTTAACTTGATATGGAATGGAGCAATGGACTTTAGAGATGTATATGGCCTACTCAGAGTGTGTTTATAAGGAAGACTAGTTATGGCTCAGTTAGCTTTTTCTTGTGGCTCATTTACCTGCAAATCTTGCCCTGTTTCTGTATTTCAGGTTGTTGAAGGAGAAATTTGAAGATAACTGGGACTGTCTGGGTGGGGGGGGATTTGTGGAGATTGAGAAAAATGTCTACATTTCAAACACTTCAAAAGGATATAGATTTTAATCTGAGATTTACCATGCTTTAAAATTGATGTAGTCTGAAGGGCTAGGGGGGGAGGGATAAAATGTTGATACCTAAATGGGGGGAAAAAAATCCCCCTACATGGACAAAAAACTGCAAAAAATGTGTAGTGCTCTCTCTGCTGGTTGGAAAGCAGTAGTTAGCCAACAAACTCCCTGAGTCATGCCAACAGCAGTCAACAGCCATTCTATTTGTAAAAGCCTCTTTGGCAAAATTCACAGTTCTTTGTTTCAGAGTAGCAGCCATCTTAGTCTGTATCCACAAAAAGAACAGGAGTACTTGTGGCACCTTAGAGACTAACAAATTTATTAGAGCATAAACTTTTGTGGGCTACAGGAAAAAACGGTTTTTAAATGTTATGATATGTTATCATATCATATCCGGTAGGAGAACACTTCAGCCTTTCTGGCCATTCAGTAAAAGGTTTAAGGGTGACAATTTTGCAGCAGAAAAGCTTCAAAAAACACACTCCAAGGAGAAACTGCTGAGCTTGAATTAATATGCAAACTAGGTTTCAGAGTAACAGCTGTGTTAGTCTGTATTCGCAAAAAGAAAAGGAGGACTTGTGGCACCTTAGAGACTAACCAAATTATTTGAGCATGAGCTTTCGTGAGCTACAGCTCACTTCATCGGATGCATCCGATGAAGTGAGCTGTAGCTCACGAAAGCTCATGCTCAAATAATTTGGTTAGTCTCTAAGGTGCCACAAGTCCTCCTTTTCTTTATGCAAACTAGATACCATTAACTTGGGTTTGAATAGAGACTGGGAGTGGCTGCATCATTACACATACTGAATCTGTTTCCCTAAGTTAAGTATCCTCACACCTTCTTGTCAACTGTCTAAATGGGCCATCTTGATTGTCACTACAATTTTTTTTCTCCTGCTGATAATAGCTCATCTTAACTAACTAGTCTCTCACAGTTTATATGGCAATTTAAAACTTATCTGTATGTATATATATATCTTCTTACTATATGTTCCATTCTATGCATCCGATGAAGTGGGCTGTAGCCCATGAAAGCTTATGCTCTAACAAATTTGTTAGTCGCTATGGTGCCACAAGTACTCCTGT